CGATCTCGAATTAGTAGAATTGAAGTCAAATTAGTACAATTAAAGTCAATTATAGTGAAATCGATCTCGAATTAGTACAATTGAAGTCAAATTAGTACAATTGAAGTCAATTATAGTGAAATCGATCTCGAATTAGTACAATTGAAGTCAAATTAGTACAATTGAAGTCAATTATAGTGAAATCGAACTCGAATTAGTACAAATCAAGTCAAATTAGTACAATTGAAGTCAATTATATACTATGTAACATATAGTATATAGTATATAACATATAGTATATACTATGTATTAAAAATACTATATACTATAATAAAGCTTCATGTTGAAGGATAAGAACAAAAGCTGTGCAATAATTTCAGTGATAGCATAGCGCGGTCTAATGGTAATGAGGTGCCCCCAGAGATAACGGACTCGCCCGAGACCTGGGTTCGAGTCCCGAATCTAGGATTTTCGTTACATTTTGTTTAACACGTAAAACGTATTCTGAGAATACGTTTTACTATTAATTAATTGTAAAACATATTCTCAGAATACGTTTTTACGTTTAAATATAAAAAAAAACTTCTCTTCTTCTTCCTTACAGAGAAGAAGCAGAGCAAAAAAAAAACACAGAGCGAGTTCGAGAGTTCAGAAGAAAAAAAAAATCTTACCCACCGTCCGTCGCCGTCGCCGTCGCCGCCGCTTGCCGCTGCACCGCCGCTTCACCTACTTCCCTTGTATAAGGTACATTTCTTCTATTATGGCTTTAATTTTGTCAATTTTATTCAAAATCTCAAATTAGGGCTAAATTTAGGGTTTTGAATTTGGGGATTTATTCGTGATTTGTGAATTTATTTGTGAATTAGGGCTTCGAATTATTTGAGATATGTTGAATTTGTGAATTTATTCGTGAATTGTGAATTTATTTGTCAATTAGGGTTTTGAATTATTTGTGAATTTGTGAATTTGGGAATTTATTCGTGATTTGTGAATTTATTTGTGAATTAGGGCTTCGAATTATTTGAGATATGTTGAATTTGTGAATTTATTCGTGAATTGTGAATTTATTTGTCAATTAGGGTTTTGAATTATTTGTGAATTTGTGAATTTGGGAATTTATTCGTGATTTGTGAATTTATTTGTGAATTAGGGCTTCGAATTATTTGAGATATGTTGAATTTGTGAATTTATTCGTGAATTGTGAATTTATTTGTCAATTAGGGTTTTGAATTATTTGTGAATTTGTGAATTTGGGAATTTATTCGTGATTTGTGAATTTATTTGTGAATTAGGGCTTCGAATTATTTGAGATATGTTGAATTTGTGAATTTATTCGTGAATTGTGAATTTATTTGTCAATTAGGGTTTCGAATTATTTGTGAATTTGTGAATTTGGGAATTTATTCGTGATTTGTGAATTTATTTCTCAATTAGGGCATCGAATTATTTGAGATATGTTGGATTTGTGAATTTATTCGTGATTTGTGAATTAGGGTTTCGAATTATTTGTGAATTTGTGAATTTATTGTTTATGAAATAGTATTGCGAATTATTTGTGAATTTGAGATATGTTGAATTTGTGAATTTATTGTTTATATAATTTATTTGTAGAAAATGGCATCATCGTCCTCGTCACAACCTCAACGGTTGAATGTACACCCCGGTCCGATTGATCGCTCGCTCTTATACCTTCAGTACCGCCACCGGTCGAGAGCGGTATATGAAGATCGACAAGGATGTCGTAACGGCACCATTAGAAACTGCCGTAACGACACTGAATTTTGGAAGGTGTTGGACAGACAACATCCGACGGTTTTACAAGTGATCGATAGGACGGGTTTTGGGCCGTTGTTTCGGATGGGCAGAGTCCAGACCGACAACAACCTAATTACCTGTCTCGTGGAAAGGTGGCGACCGGAGACGCACACCTTCCATTTTGATTTCGGGGAGGCCACAATCACGCTCCAGGACGTACAAGTCCTGTTTGGTCTCCCGGTAGATGGAATGCCTTGCTGGGGAGAGACTGTAGATTTTACAAACCAGCAATGGCGAGATGAGTGTGTGAACCTTCTAGGGTTCGACTCCCAGGTAAATTTTTTAACACATTTTTTTTTTGTTTGTTTATGTATAATCTATTGTTTGATTTTTAATATATATAAATCACTCTCAGGAAGCAGACGACCCGACAGCCAACCCCAAAACATGGGGCATCGTAGGCCAGTATCTGAAGCACTCGAGGTTGGAAAACGAATGCAACAGAGTGCTGCAAGATGGAGAAGACATCACGGCCTACGAAGAGAGGGCGAGGGCACTTATCCTCTGGTGCCTTGGATCATTCTTTTTTCCCGATCAGAGGGCCTCTGGAGTCAACCTGTACTGGACCCAGCTCCTGCGCGACATCGATAAGATCAAGGAGTACAGCTGGGGGTCAGCGCTCCTGGCCGCAGTGTATAGAGCGCTGTGCACGAGCTACCAGACCGGGGAAGGCTGGATCAAGAGCTGTGTCCAATTGATTCAGGTATATTTATTTACTTGTTATTTTAAAATTTATTTTTTTTCTAAATTAGACTAATATTTAATAACAAATGAATATGGCGATATCTTTAGGTTTAGGCATGGGAACGTATCCCTCGGCTTCGCCCGAGAATGAAGGATACGAAACTCAAACAGTCATTGGTTGTCCTTTAGGTCGAAGGTAATGATATTTATTTATATATTTTATAGTTTGATTATTTCAATTATCAATTTTCTAATTATAATTTCTGATGTTTTTTTTTCTGTGATTTTTAAGGTGGATGGGACGGAAGGACACGAAACACATAGTAACGGGAACAGCCGCTGTCCGGGATCAACTGACAGGGTTAAGAGAGACGGATGTAAGATTATTATTAAGTATTATTGATTGTTATTTATTTTTTGTTTTATGTGTTTTATCTTTTAATAACTTAATTCTTATTATTATTATTTTTGTTTTTTACAGTTCGATTGGATGCCGTATGAAGAGCTCCTGAATGCTAGGGCTCTCCCGGCCCAGTGTACAGAACATTCAAGCCTCTGGATGTATAGGGGCTGGATGTTCTGTTGGGACATCCGTGAAACCCACGAGCCGGGTAGAGTCCTCCGTCAATTCGGGTGTCATCAGTCCATCCCCGACACTCCGATCATTGCGGGTGAGGTCGACTGGGAGACACACCACCGAGGCCAGGGAATGACCGGGAGGGGAGTATATGATTGGGTCGAGTTTCATTCCCAGTTTGGGAATGTTTGGGTCGACCAAAGACACCAAAATGTCCTCCCTGATGAGCGTGTGGCGTCATTCGTACAGCCTGGCGAGGGTTACCTTGATTGGTTTCACAGCAGGACTGTGAGACTAATCAGTGACCCTGCCAAGTACCTGGTGGTACAACAGGACGGAGGCTATCAGCCACTTGCCGAGCATTGGAAGTGCGATGTAAGTATTTATAATTTGTATGTTTTTTTTTTCTATTATTATTTTAATTTTTTGCGTTTCATAAAAATTACTTTGAATTAAATTTTCAGGCTAGCGGCATGGAGGGGGCTTATAACGTGTTATCCAATGTTGAACATCTATATCATACAGCCCATCCGGAGATGCAGGCGGCAATCCAATATGCCAAGAGTCTTCTCTTCACTTCTCTAACTGTCGGAGGCGGAGAGATCGGTCAAGGGGCGTCGTCGAGCCAAGCTTTATCACAAGAGAGCTACGTCCAACCCCAGAGGACGCAGTTACACCGAGCGAGGCATCAACCTCCTCCCCATATTCGTGGAGGTAGAAGACGACGTCACCGCGAACCTGTTGCCGACCCCGGGCCTGAGGAAGAACAAGAAGAAGGTAAACATTTTTACTTAACAAAAATATAATTTTATTTATGTGATTTTTGTTAAGTCGATTTTTTGATTTCTTTAAAAAATGAATTACTCAGCTGAAGAAGAAGAAGAAGAAGAAGAAGAAGAAGAAGAAGAACCTACCACGCCCACAGCATCGTCTTCTTCACGACCACCACGGCGTCGGGCTAGCTCCCGACCGCGCAACCCTACGAATCGATACACTCCTAGTTAGTTGTGTTGTATTCGGAGACATTTTGTAGACATATATATTTATTTTTTTCTTTCGTGGTGGATTTATGTGTAATGATATTTGAACTTGTTTGGATTTTTATATTTGGAAAATGAATTATTGTGCTTCATTGTTGTTTCTTTGACATGGTTGATATGGGTTTTGTGAGTTTATATTTGGTTGTGGAATCGATCTCGATTAACAGGTGTGTTTTTGTAATTTTGTTTATGTGAATTACTGTTTTTGCACAGTAAAACGTATTTTCATAATACGTTTTTGTACTGTGTAAAATTAGGTCAAATTCAATTTGGGGATAAAATTAGGGCAAAATCAATTTGGGGCAAAATTAGCTAGAAAAACGTATTTTCAAAATACGTTTTTGTACTGTGTAAAATTAGGTCAAAATCGATTTGGGGATAAAATTAGGGCGAAATCAATTTAGGGCAAAAATAGATTGAAAAACATATTTTCAAAATACGTTTTACTTTTCAAATATTATTTTCGGAAAAAATATGTTAAAAATATTAATTTTATATATAAAACGTATTCCAAGAATACGTTTTTAAATATTTTTTCCAGAAAACGTATTTCGATAATACGTTTTAACCTGTTTTAATTAATTTAATTACGTTAAGCACCTTAATTAATTGTTTTTAAGCAAAACGTATTCACAAAATACGTTTTTTTACTAAAAACGTATTCAGGGAATACGTTTATCTTTGAAAAACGTATTCTGTAAATACGTGCTTTTGATTTTTTTCCACTTCTTTAATTTTTGGGAATACATTTATCTTTGAAAAACGTATTCTGTAAATACGTGCTTTTGATTTTTTTCCACTTCTTTAATTTTTTTTATTTCTGTCCACTTAATTTTTTTTATTTTTATATAAATAAATAATTCAATAAAGAACAGTGAATAAATAGTAACACCCTTCACAAATCAACCCCCGGAATTTTTGATCGTTGTTCTGACCACCCAAACCCTCTCTTTTTTTCCTCCCACTGCGTTTTTCCTCTCTGCATTTTTCAAGTCAAGTGCTCTCACAAACCCTAATCCTCGCTCCACCTACACATTCATTTATGTTTGCGTCTATCAATTTGCTTCGGGAACCTGTTTTGTTCTGAATCATTTGTATTGCTAATCGCCAATTTACATCTCACTACTTCTTTATATTTCACTCACTATTAGCGTTGGTGTGATTTTCATTGAGGGTTTTGATTATTTGGTGAAATTCTGTGAGATATCTATTCCCGGTAATGGCGGGAAGTAAGTTAGACCTTCCGGAGGATCTCATTACATCCAAGCTGCCCGAAAAATCGTGGACTCCGGAAGGTAGATCGTGGATATAGATTTCGTGTCAAATTTTTGCGCGCTCTGATTTATTATGCTCGATTAGATCTGGCTATCGTATGCTGGATCCTGTCTTTTGATGTACTAATCTAATGCCTTTAATTTGGTCCGAAGATCTTCACTCAAAGTATTATTTTAATCGTTGTTGAATTCAATGCTTTTAGTGATTCTGGGATTAATGAAAATTTCCTTTACTGTTCCCTTTTGTAATATTTTGTCAAAAAGCTGGGTGGTGGTTAAATGTTTTTAATCGGAAATCAATTTTAAGTTCCTATTTTAGTTTCCCCGCACCTATTCAGAACATGCGTAGTGTTTCTATCAGCTTTGAATCTCTGTTGAATTTTCCAGTTCAACTTGTTTAAGTTTCATCAGAGATTAATATTTTTTCCATTAATATTGATGTATTTCTATAATATTATTCAATGAAGCTTCAATGGGAAATGATGAAGACAGGGAATTGTCTGGATTACTGGATGAATCAAAGGGTGAGTAAGCGTTTTAAGATATTATGGTATGTACGGTTGTGTTGCTCATGATTTTTTCTTCCCTGCTTTCCTTTTGCTTATTCCGTTTGTTCGTTGGCACAGATCAAGCAGTGTCTGAGAGCATTCCATTGTCTCCGCAATGGCTGTATGCTAAGCCAAATGAGTCTAAATTGGTAAACTGAACCATTGATCCTGTCACATTTTCTCTCTTGATTATGATCGTAACATAACCATGCACAGTGTTTATAGTTTTAAATCGAATATTTGTCGATTTCTGAGATCTCAATCCCTTGATTGGTACTCTGGTTATATATGCCTGTCATGGGATTTGTTATGTATATTTGAGATTTGAAGGCTTTCAAAATTGCATCTATAAATACATTTGAAGTTAGTAACATTAGGCACTGTGCCCTGCTGCATTATGGACTTTGCTGGAAATCTATGCTGTATTGATTATTGGTCTCAAGTAACTATATGACTTCTCAAAGAGTCTCGTTTCACTTATTTATCTTTATTGCATACAGTGTGAACTAAACTAAAATGATCTCCATGTTCTTGCTATAAGAGGGGTCTATATTTCAGTCTTGTCTTCAATTTGATATCTGACTACGTATTTTGTATACATCCATTGAAATTGTTGGTCCTTTTTTAATTTCTAAACTCTCCTTTCATGAGTGTATTGTTAATGTTCTGATCCATCATTGGGAACATTTTTATGTTTGTCAGGAAACCCGAGGGCCCAGCACTCTTTCTCTTGGTAGTTCTGCAGATGTGAACCAGAATGAGGTTTGGCGTGCTGATGCGACTGAGGAAAGAAAGGACTGGAGAAAAGTTGCTCCTGAACCTGAGGGTGTGCGCCGCTGGCGTGAAGAAGAAAGGGAAACTGGATTACTTGGTCGAAGGGATCGCAGGAAGATGGAGAGACGTGTTGAAAATGCTCCAGCCAGAGAACAAACTGACAACAGATCTATGCCTGCTGCTGAAAGGTGGCATGATGCTAGCGGTCGCAATTCTGGGAATGAAACTAAGCGTGACAGCAAATGGTCTTTAAGGTGGGGTCCTGATGACAAAGAAAAAGATACTCGGTTGGAGAGAAAAGTGGAGACGGAGAAGGAAGAGTCACTGACTGAAACTCAACCATTTGTTTCGAGTAATCGTTCTGTTCCTGAGCGTGATTCAGATTCTCGTGATAAGTGGAGGCCGCGACACAGGATGGACGGAAATCCAGGCGGGTCGGGTTACCGTGTTGCACCAGGGTTTGGAAATGAAAAGGGACGAGTCGAGGGCTCCAATGTGGGCTTTGCTGTAGGGCGTGGTAGGTCAAGTGTTTCTATCGTAAGATCTACGTCTGCAGGTCCAATTGGTTCCCCTGAATATGAAAAGATTGGAAATGTTCTGGGGAAACCAGCCCTACTTGTTGGAACATTTGTTTACCCTAGGGGAAAACTTCTTGATGTATATCGTAAGCAGAAGCTGGATTCTTCTCTTGCCCACATACCGGAACATCTTGAGAAAGTATCCCCTATAACTCAACTGGAGGCTGTTGAGCCTTTAGCTTTTGTTGCTCCTGATGCTGAGCAGAAGGTGAGCTTGTTATTTACTCATAACTTTAATATTATGCATGGATACTACTAGTAGAAGTGTGTTGAGCTCCTCTTCCTTACAGGCCATCTTGAACGACATATGGAAGGGTAAATTAACAAGCAGTGGAGCATCATACAGTTCATTTAAGAAGGGCAGGTCCACGGAAAATGTTTCAGGTAATTTAAGCTTTGACACTCTTTAGAACATCTTCCATATTACCTAGATTTAATTTTTAATTGGCTGTTAGTTGTGTTACTGTTTTTTCTTTCCATTTTTTTTTTCTAGAATTGGCGGACATTGAATTTTTTGAGGGAAGACAAGCATCCTTCTCAGTTGATGTCGGTGAAGAGGTGCATAACTTTCAGAAAACATCAGTTGATATTCATGAATACAGTGGTGATAGCATCTTGTACCATAGTTCACCGAGAAAAGGTATTTAAATCGTGTGAATGCTGATTTGAAGTGTTGTATAGTTCTTTTTCATTTTCGTAAAAATCTAAAAAAATGTTTCTGCACCGTAGAGAAATTTGCTGGTCATGAAGAAAAATATGAAGCTCCAGTGGCTATGATTGGAAACGAACTGGGTAGTAGCTTGCACACTTTTAATGGTGCTCAATCTGATGCCTTTCAGCTCAAAGGAGCAAATTCTGCAGTTAAGCAGGATACTTTATTTGACAGTGTCAACTCTGCCATGTTATTTGATGTTAATAATAATCTTCTGGGTGATGGGAACTCTGTGCCTACATCTGGGGAACATTTCGATGGTCAGCGACCCAAGATAAGGAGTGGAAGAAATGAATATCAGCTACATGTAAGAATCCCCCCAGAGGAACTAAGTTTATACTATCGGGATCCACAAGGAGAGATCCAGGGTCCTTTTCTTGGTGTGGACATCATTTCATGGTTTGAGCAAGGATTTTTTGGGACTGATTTACCTGTCCGTTTGGAAGATGCTCCTGATCAGGCACCTTTCCAAGAATTGGGAGATGTGATGCCTCATTTGACATTTCGAAATGAGTACGATAGTGGAACTGATTTAAGTTCTAATATAGAGAAATCTGCGGTGATGGAGTCCGATCCTGTTCTTGAAAGGGGTCCTTCCAATGTAATGAATGGCTCTGGCTGGCAGTTGTCTGATTTTGATGCTAACCCTCCACAGCAAGCTCAACCAAGAGGAAGTGAAAATCAACGTCAACCATCACAAAACTTGTACTCCCAGGGAGAAAACTCTCATGATTTTGGTCCGCTGGATGAAGGTATGCTCGTAGTTATTTTGTCAACTAGTTCTTTTACTATTTAGAGAATTCATTCGGTTCTGACTGTTCGCTGCAAATTATTCTTTAAACAGAAATCGTGTTTCCTGGAAGACCTGGAAGTGGTAGCACAGCCATAGGGAAGATGCCCAGAGAATATGGTGAACTTGCTACAAATTGTGGCAACCAATCTTATCTTAATAATGAAATGACAGATTCTGGTGGCTGTAATAAAAAAGATAGTAAGTTGCATCCTCTTGGTTTGTTATGGTCTGAGCTTGAGAGCACATACTCGAGTAATGATCAGACATCTACACGCAACGGGGTTGCACAGGATAAATTTGTAAACCCTGTTTCTGGAAGCCTTGCTCCTTTTGATGCAATGGGTAAGCCAAATCATGCCCCTGAGGAATGGAGTGATGCTTATAGCTGCAGTGCACGTTCGGATTCCAACTTGTATCATGACGTTATCGATGCTGGACATCCTTCAAGGGTGAACCAAGAATACAGCCATTATGATTTAGCAGAAAAGCTGTTGCCGCAACAACTTCAGCAGCAGCATCTTCAGCCACATAATGCGATGCTATCCAACAATAGACACTTGAATGAAGCAATGCTTGAAGGGGGGTCCATTCCGAAATTGATGCACCACAAGCAGCTGGCCAGTCAATCAGCGCAAAATATGGAACACATTTTGGCCATTCAGTTGCAACAGCAGAGGCAGATGCAACTTCAACAGCAGCAACTGCAGCAACAGCAGTTCCATCAACAGCAAATGCTGTTGAAAGAGCAACAGCAGTCTCAGGCCAGGAAAGTCTTTCTTGAGCAGCTACTGCAAAGTCAAATGCGAGACTCTGGTCGTGGGCAGTCTCGTCTTGAGGCTCTTAGATCCAGTGCTGCTCTTGAGCAGGTGATACTGAAGCAACAAATCCTGAATGAGCTGCAGCCGCGTTCCCAATATCCACGGCATCTGGATCCATCTGTTGAACAGCTAATTCAAGCAAAATTTGGTCAAATGCTCCATGAAGAGCATCACAATGATTTGTTGGAGCGTTTATCTCGTGGAAGGCATGGTCAGGTCCACTCCCTCGATCAACAGGTTATTCAGCAAAATCAGCTGCATAGGAGGCAACAATTACCGTTGGGGCTGAGGCAGCGACTGGATATGGAAGAAGAAAGGAATATCAATCCTGGATGGTCACATGATGAAGCAGGTCAGTTCCATGGGAATCCTGCTTCTCATAGAGCTATATCTGCTGGGTTTGGACCTTTGGACTTTTATCCCCAGAAAATGCCATCTTCCGAGGAGCATCTCGGTCATCTTGTTAGGAATCATTCAGTACAAGATAGACTTCAACATGGTCTTCTTGACCACAGCATGTTACCTTTCGAGCGTTCTACGTCGTTGCCTGTGGATGGTGGATTGAATTGTGATTTTGTGAATTCCATGGCTAGACCTCAAGGTTTAGAAATGCAAGAGCAGATTTCCCAGCTGCAACGTGGTGGTTTCTCATCCAGTCTTTATTCTCAGCATACAAACCACCCTTTGGTTCCAAATCAGTTCCATGTTTCGCGCGATACAACAGAGGGTAAATGGCCTATGAATAATAATGATCAAATGTCGAATGCTTTGATGGAGTCAAGAATGCAACAACTGCATCTTCATAGTGAGAGACACAGAAGGGAATTGGATGCTACATGGGGTACTGAAGACTCTAGTTTTTGGATGTCTGCTGGAGCAAATGACGACAGTTCTAAGCGCTTGCTAATGGAGCTACTACGCCAGAAGTCCGGTCACCCGTCAAGTGAACAGGTAGACGATGTTAATGGAATAGCGCATGAGAGGAGGCCATCTTCAAGCCATTATTCTGGGGCAAGCATGGCGAACCAGTCATTTAATGTTCTTTCAGATCAAGAATCTGGTTTTGACGACTCATTCACCATTGGGTCTTATGGGTCTGATTCTGGCAGACCAACACAGAATAGACCGTCTGAGGGGATAACCAAAGACCATGAAATTGGTGGGTTATCTTATAGATCTGAAGGCATAGCATTAGTTGAAGGAAGACCATTTGGGGCAGACATTGATGAAAGCTCTCAGGTAAGCCATGACAGTTTTATGCGTAGCAAGGCAGACAAAGAGGTACCTCTCTCAAATGTGGAAGAAAGAAACAGAGTTCTCATCAATGATGGTAAAATTCAGGGAATAATTTCTGAGGCTCTAGAAGGCGTAGTTGAGCAGGCTGGCTTGATATCTATGGACCAAGGTGAAATGCCAGCTAATGCCCTTGCCCGGCACAAGCCACTTAGCTCCACTGGTGATGTTTTTATTTTCCTCCTATATTTTGTGCTCTTCTTTCCTTTGTTTTGTTTGTTCCTTCCATTCAACGAGTAACATTTTCTGTCAATGATCAGGTTTTCACAACGAGAAGATTGGAGAAGGCGGGTCCTTGTTGGAGGACACTACTAAGGATAGGTGAGATAATATGGCCGGTCATTCTGTTACTTACTACTAGTAGGCGCTCGACCAACGCCTAGCGCCTAGAGCGCCTAGTCGGGGTTTAGAAATTAAGATTAAATACCTTTTTTTTTATTTATTTATTTTCACTAACTACAAAATAATCAGTTTATAATAAATCCACACACTGCTGCCTGACCCCGAGGTTTTCGGCCGATTCATGCAAATTGGAGGTGGCCGCCTAGGCCGATTTTTAGTACAGTACTTATTACTTTATTAATATTCTCTCATATCCTATATATTGGACGGACTGATTTCTCTGCATAGTAGTGATGGAAAAGGAAAGGTCCTTGATTTGGGCAACTCTGTTGTGTATTACAAGTATTATAAAAGCCAGATAGTGAGATGATAATCGTTCGTTGGAATTTGTTGCTTGCGAGTCATACATTTGGCTGGTTGATACTATTTTCAACTGAATGTATAGAATTTTTGTAAATAGGTCGCGATCTTGGAATGCAAAAGGAGCAGAAAATGTGTTGCTGAGGCGTCCAAGAGCCTCATCTTCTGAGGAAGGGTTGTCGGAGGTGAATGGTGATGCAGCTGTTTCAGGCAGAGGAAAAAATGTTGCGAATGGTGAGTGTAGGTTGGGATGGATCTCTTGAATATCCTATTTGATCATTCATTTATTCTTACATTCATTCCACTAAACAAATTTTGATGGTTTGTAGGTGGAAGAAGGGACGATGTTGTTGTGGGGTTCCGGCGGACATCATCCTGTAATGATGCTACAGCTACAGATACTATGGAGATGACTTCCTTCAGTGAGATGCTGAAGAAGCCTCCTCTGCCTGATTTGTCCGATGGTGGGGCCTCAGCTGCTGGGGGCTCCCAAAAAAACAAAAAAAGAGGGAAGAAAGGTAGGCAAATTGACCCAGCTCTTCTAGGTTTCAAGGTGACCAGCAATCGGATCATGATGGGTGAGATACAACGTATAGATGAATGAAAGTAAATCATATCAAAACAGGACTCACCGCGCACTGTACATGTTCTTTTCATATATGTAGCAAAGTTTCTCTGTATAGCTGCTGCTTTCGTTTCTTGCTTTTAGTTTTTTCTTTTTTGGGGGGAAATCCTCTCTTGTTGTATAGCATAATTCATTCCTTTACTTTGCTTCCAATTCATATTAATAGAGAAATAATAAATAAGTTTGTGATTGTTGTTATAATACAATCAGTTTTTTTCTGCGATTCTTTTCTGTACAAGTTGATGTCCGTGGTACCGCAACCTATTATGTTAAATGTGAAATAGATCCTTTGGGTGACTGGATATGAATATTTTTAAATTTTTTTTGCTGGATTATTTTTTGGGACAATTTTTTATTTAACAAATGCACATTCTTTTATCACACTGTCCCATAAAACAATTTCTTTCACTTCAATTCACACAATTATATGCAATATAATAAATGAATGTATAAATGAGCCGCATAATTAGAAACGTGAAAATAGCCATTTTCACCCTGTTTTGAAAATCTATTAAGTCTTTTACACCGCTCAATAAAAAGTTAAGTTTTTCACTCCAGAAAGTACGAAAACATATGCGATAAACTAGGCGATAGAAAAACGACCGATATGAGCATGAGCGAGAAAATTATGAGTTTAAAGTATGCGACTGTTCTGGCACGAATATGCGGAGATTCGATATACGAATCGGTCCTTCGCCCATTAAATAATTATTTTCTTGTTAGGCTAATGAATCTACGACTATTAGTCGAAAAAATTATTCGAGGGGGTATGCGAATTGCTGCATATTGCTCGCATACCGTATTCGCACTTCTACTCGAAAGTTATTTTTTATTTCTTCCATCTTTTAGTTATTTCAGTTATGCGAGGGGTATGCGAATTGCCGCATATTGCTCGCATACCCCCTTCGCACTTCTACTCGAAAGTTTATTTTTTATTTTTTATTTTTATTTCTTTCATATTTCAGTTATGGCTTTATGCGAGGGGGTATGCGAATTACAGAATATTGCTCGCATACCCCCTTCTCACTTCTACTCGAAAGTTTTATTTATTTCTTTCATCTCAGTTATTTCAGTTATGCGAGGGGGTATGCGAATTGCCGCATATTGCTCGCATACCACCTTCGCACTCCTACTCGAAAGTTTATAATAAAATGCTAAAAAAAAAAAAAATCTATTACATGAGTCATTAAAGAACTTGGGCGATAATTGTTTCTGGATCTATACTAAACTGAAAAATTTGTCGAGCAATTTGCGCCTCATGTCCGTAGACCACTGCTGGTTAGACTTGCCTAAGAGCTTCCTCCCTGTTAGCAAAGTTCGTACCATCTCCACAACGCATACGCCACAAGAAATTCTATCATCTTGCAAGATAATATTTTTGAGGTTCATGAATTTCAAAACGAACTTCTTGCTCACCCTCTCTACTCCCGCATACGTCGCAATCAATGGAATTAGATTTTAAATTTTTTTGAGTGCTTTGACGCGGGATTCGTGAATGTGCTTGTCCGCCTTTTTTTGATACGTATGCCGTAGGGGGTCAAACACACATATCGTTCCCCTCGAGTAAAAGGATCTGGAAAGCTACGTAGTGCTGCGACAAATTCACAACTCCAATAATCTGTTGCATTGAGTTGTGAGAAATTCACTAATTTTTAGGAAAGATTGCAATATTAATTGATTCGGAATCATTGAAAACTTATACATTCAATCTTCCCTCAAGTACACGGATTATCCCCAATCGCTGACCCCCTCATTCGCATAGCGAATCAAAGATTGGAGGTTGTCCGAGTCCGCTAGCTTTTTTTTAGCATGGACCTCCTTCTCCAATTCCCCCCAGAATCCACTATATAAAATACAACAAAATAATAAATAATAATGTAATTAATATAATTATTAATAAAATTGGAATGGCGAGGAAAAGAGAAAGGATTAAAATAATCTCACAAAAAACGTAGTCGGCACGATGGTATAAGTGCCCAACATCTTGTCTTATGGCTGGAATCCCAAAAATAGTGGATTGCTTTGCATAATCTCTAAGTATGCATTCACGTGTTGTTTTATAAAATCAAACCAACCATCATCTATCAATTCATTTTTATACGTTAAAATATTACAAGACAAACATATACATACCTCCTGCGACATCATTTCAGCCGGATCAATCAACTCCTTAAACCAGTGCTGGCCCACCTCATATTTAAAGCCGACATTCCTCCTATTAAATAATATATTAGAAAGTTTTTTTTTTTTTTTAAATTTAAACAATAAAAGATCTTTTGGATGTACTTACATTTTTTTATTCGTGGATTTGAGGAACCGTTCAAACGCATGCTCATCTTTGGCATACCGTCTGTTCTCGTCGGGACGATATGGACTTATAACAGCACGTCCAAGAAGTGGACTGCAGCACCGGTGTCTCGGGAACGGGATTGGGGACGACTGTCTTGGGGGTGAAGGGGTTGGCGGCGGTTGCCTCAGAGGTGGAGGTGGGATCGACGGCTGTCTCAGTGAGGGGATTGTTGACGGCTGTCTCGGAGGTGGGAGTGGGGGCACGCTGTCTCTTAGGGGAGGGGGTGACGGTTTCTCGGAGGGGTTGTCTCGGAGGGGGTGCGGGAACGCTGTTTCTCATGGGAGCAGGTGGGGGAACATTGTCTCGTCGAGGAGTGGGTGGGGGAACGCTATCTTGTCGAGTTGGCGGCTGGCTCGGACTCGGGAGGAGGCTGTCTCAGATGGGGGTGCGACAAATTGGCCAACTCCTGTCGAATAATAGTCGGTAACTCCCGTAGAATGATTGCCGACACCTCAGAGGATATTTTGGCTATAACATTATCCATTTCAGCCCGTACGCACGCCCGAATATCCTCAATAAAGGCCTACCCATCGTTGGCCTCACCTCCTCCTGGTGCATCGGACTATCTTCACCCTCAGTTCGGGCCCACTTCCTCGGGTGCACAGCGTCGCCTGCAATTTGAGATTGCAGAGCCAACGTGGACGGCTGTGCCGATTCTTGCATACGGCGACTGGCCAGGTAAATCCATCGCAAAAATCGAGGCCCCTCAACATTCAAAGTCGAGAGGTCCAACACGCCATTCTCCTCATACAGATCCAGCGTTTCATGCACCTCCAACTAAATTTTAAAAAATAGAACATAAAAATAAAGATAAAGAAATCATCAGAAATCGTTAAGACTTAAAACAGAATTTCGGATATCACTTGCTAACGATTCCAATAAAAAATGTTTAGGATCAAATAATACTTGTTGGTCAAAAAATGTATCTAGAAGGGTGACCTTCGGGAATTTCCAGTGAACCAGCCGTGGTGGATGTTTCACCGAGGTACATGTTCCACATGTACGACCTAATTCAGGGATTGCCTCGTGCACCTTACTAGAAACACCCAATGAAATCCGTAGATATGATATTTCATATTATAGTACTTGGGCGTCTGCAAGTAGTCGAACAGGTACTGAAACGAGTAACTCCCCCATGAAAATTTCTCCCACATTTGGTCTTCCTCAAGCAAAGCCCACAATTGTTATCAATATACCGAGGCTTGCTGTCGTCATGAGGAATGATAAAGTACATCAGCATTAACATCTTCGCCACTCTCACTATCACATCCCGAGAGGTACGGAACTACCCCGCCTTGAAGTCACCACGCAACTTATGCATAGTGATCCGCTTGCCTTTATATTTCTCAATGAAAATCGACGATGGAGGAGGAGGAGGCGTTGAGTTCGGGTCAAACGCAGACGATCCAAAAGCAAGCCCCGGTCACCACAACATACTAATGGGCGGAGAATTGGGTAAAATGGCTACCAATACGGAACCACATCTCGTTCGGGTTCTGACCGACATGAGTCACCTCGCGCGAAAGAACCCCATGCATTGCCTTTGCAGAGACATTAGAATTATCATCAAACTGAAGGAACGGACCAAAGACCGAGCCCAGGAAAGCAGTCAAGGCCCCTTCAACGTTGGCCAACTCGTTATTGATATTAGAACATATCAACTGCCGGCTGTAAACGTTGATCTTCAGCCCTTTATATTTATCGATCAGTTCCTTTCTCTTGTACGACCAATCCTAAACAATCGCATTGTTGTTGTTGTTCTTGTTGTTAATTATTCAAATCAAATAACTTATGCATTATCAAATAAAAACAACTATTTCTTAACTATTAAAGCAGATGAAATTAAATAACTTAAATTAAATAACTGCAACAAATGGAAGTTACCTCTCCAGAAGAGATGGCCTCTGGATCCGTGCCTTCAATCGCTGAGTTGCCGCCCGCCATACCCGTTACGCTAGCCGTTGAGTCGCAGGCCGTAATAGCCATTAAGCCACCCGCTTGGTCGGCCGCCACTTGAATAGCTAGATTCTTCAATTCTTCATCATCTCTTAAGAAGTCCATAATGTCGACGTCGTTCATAATTTTTGGTTCTTTTTTTCTTTTTAAATTTCTAACAGTTCTTTTGCTTCCAGATATGCGAATTAATGTCGCAAGATGGAATCCCAATTTTTCGCCCCTCTTTCTTTTTTGATTTCTTCTCTGGAGAGGTGCAACTGTGAAAGTAGCGTATATGAGACGTTTCGCTTTTTGTTTTTGTTTTAAATAATAAACTATACGACAAAATAAGCGAAAAAACAGCAGTCGAGTAATATTCGCATAACAAGCGCCATACTTTCGCAATTCCGATGCAATTGTATTTTTTAATAAAAAAATAAAATAATAGTTTAGTTTCCGTATCCCTTTGGCAGTTTAATACCCTACGGTAGACCTGCGAACAAACGCATATCCGTCGCGAGATGGTCGCATAAAGAATCGCATTTATCAGACCATTTCAAACACAAAAATATTTTAATAATTGTTTAATAATAATTGTTTTACACAAAAAGGGGTCTGCAAATACCTTGCGGTTGACCTGCGAATGAATTATGCGACGTTTGTTTGCGCAATTATGTGTGTCGCAGAATAGAAAATCTAAAAACAATTTTTGTTAAAATAAATTCTTCGATTATACTACGAATGTTGTGCGGTTTGTATGAGAAATTGTTTCGACCAACTGTCGCAGGTTCATTAGCCTAAACTGTTAATTTTTTTTTTCGGAACGATAGGTTAGCCTAAACTGTTTAGAATTTTCCAAAAATTAAATTCTAAAAAAATAACTTATTATGCACCAACTAGGCGAATAATATGCGACGGTTGTATATCGCAAGAATAGAAAATTTCCAAAAACAAATATTAGAAAAAAATTATTCTCCGATTATATTACGAGTGTTATGCGTTTGTTGTG